ATAGAGTAAGTTCCAGGATATGTAGAAAAAAACAAGTTGCAAAGAAGTGTGAGTGCATGCATGAAGGAATAAGGGTAAGTTAGGAATTAAGGAAAATGGTTAACTATAGGGAGTAGCTGGGGATGGGGTGGGTGGAGAGGATGGGATGGGAGTGAGACTTTCCTGGTATATCTCTCTATATAGTTTGATTTTTTTTTTTTAAAGATTTTATTTATTTATTTGTCAGAGAGCACAAGCAGCAGGCAGAGGGAGAAGTAGGCTCCCCACCGAGCAGGGAGCCTGATGTGGGACTTGATCTGGGATCATGACCTGAGCTGAAGGCAGACGCTTAACCAACTGAGCCACCCAGGCGCCCCTATATGGTTTGACTTTTAAACTGTACATATGTTCAACATACTCAAAACATAAATCTAAATGGATGAAGAAAAGCAAATCCTAAAACTGAATTACAGAAACACTTGAGCCTAACTATATGTCAAATTGCTAACCACAGAGAAAAGAATTCATTCACAGACTTCAGAACACAGTACTTTGTATGCCCCGGATGGGAGGTATTTTAAGGACAAAATAGAAATCTTAATTGACAGAGAGCGCACAAGCAGGTGGAGCGGCAGGCAGAGGGAAAGGGAGAAGCAGGCTCCCCGCTAAACAGGGAGCCTGACTCGGGGCTCGATCCCAGGACCCTGAGATCATGACCTGAGCTGAAGGCAGACGCTTAACCAAATGAGCCACCCAGGTGTCCCAAAATATTAATAGTCTTAATAATCTTAGTATAAGTCTTGTTAGTAGTGATTTTGGTGTAATTCTGCACTGTATGATGTTATAAAGCAAATGAATAGTATGTTGATGATGATGAAAATCAGGGCACTCAGTGTAGGAAAAGGAGAGATACAAGTATGGAAAGAAAGGTAATCCAGGGGTACTGGGCTGAGCTACAGGTGTCACTGTGACCCCATGATTCAAAAATGAATCCTAGCTCTGTTCACTAAATGCCGCCCCAGTAACCGTGAGCCCACCTGGTGTTCCATCTTGGTTTCTAAATCCCATTCTCCATTAAAATGAACTGGGCTTTCTGGAGTAGTGGTTGACTCCAGGGCTAGGACTGAGAAAAGTGCATGTTGATCGTGGAGCGTTTTGTGCCAGAAAGCAAAGACCTCAAAGAATGAAGTGGGGGGGGAGGAGGAGAGTCATGTTGTAAAGAAGGGGAACCTGCTTGAACAGGCTGCTTTGGGCAAGTTTTAGACAGTTTATTAAGAACAATAGTCATAGAAGTGAATTACAAAACTAAATAAAAAAGGAATTCATGCATCTCCAGTGATGTTCAAAAAAGAAAAGAGGGAGACAGTTGAACAAAAAGGCAAGCTCTTCTTTACAAAAGGCCACTAATTAAATGCGGGTAGAATGATCAAATGGAAAAATGTAGTTTTTAAACCTGTGTAAGAATGTTAATAAGCTAGTGGTAATATAATATTCACATAGTCTAAGAATCACCCTATAGGTAATTTATTAATTACAAAAGGAAAAAGGTCCTTTTTATATGGAGAGTTCCAGCAGTCACTGCCCTAACCGAGCTTTCCCACCTCGTGGGACAACCGGGCAGGCCTCCTTCCTGATGGGATGCTCTAAGAAGTGCACGACACCTGAGCAGTGTCCTTGCCAGAAGTGTTTAGCCTGGGTCTAAACATGACACAGACAACCAAATGCAATATGGGAACTCTGATTGGATTTGGGGGAGCAGGGGTAGGTATGGAGCATTTTTATAAATAATTAAATAAATTTAAATATGGCCTGAATAGTAGATAACGTTAAATTAATGTCATCCTTGGGTATGATATGGGAGAGTGATGATGTAGGAGGGGGTGTTTATTCTTAGGAGATTCAAGCTACTTTCCAGATAGTTCAGCTGATAGAACATACATATGGGAAACAATAGGAAAATGTTACCAATTAAGAGTTGCCTTTGACAAACTGTGTTTTGCTTTTCCTTAAGGGAATTAGGATATACATTCCTGATGGCAGATTCAATTTTAAAACTATAGCTCCTTGAAGTGAAATCTGTTCTATGTTTCTTAGAGATTATTTTAAAATTGTGCTGCCATTTAGACTCAAGTATATATTTATTTGACAGCGAAAAGTTTTGCATGAACTGAATTGTTTTCTTGGTAGATCGAGGAAGCCAGGCACACAGTGCACTTTCTGTGTTGACGAACTGTTTGTTTTACTCATTTTCATTAAATGAGTCAGTTCTGGGGAGATAACGTTTCCTACCTTCAGGTGCTGCTTGTACGGGCCCACCCACCCTTTTAAACTTTTTAAAGACATTTCTCCTGATGATACCAGGGAGGATTGCTAGCCCCCGGGACCTGGGGGAGTTGTCTGGTTTTGTCTGGAAAATTCATGCACATTTGACTCTGTGTCCTCTCTACCCAGTGCTTTCAATCTTTATCCCCCCACCCCCCAAAAAAAGTCCTTTCCCTGATTTGCAGTTAAAATCAACATGGCAGAAAGACTTATTTCTAGTCTAATAAAATTCTTGAAGAATAGCATTTGTGAACAGTGCCTTTAATTCATTCATGGATTGCTAAGTGGAAGTTGGTGCTGGGGACACAGTGATGATGGGTGAACGGCCCTGTTCCGGCCCCGTGGGGAGAGGGGCGGGTCCCCATGCCGGGAGTTGGGCACAGATGGCTCAGGTGCTACCAAGGGAGCCCGTAGAGGCCGAGGTGCGTGCGCAGACCTGCCCTGGGCTGGCCGGTCACTGGAGCCGACGCGGCAGCATGAGCAGCAGAGACGCACCGACCACGGAGTCAGGCCACAGCCTGTCGGAGGATATTTTGGGGTTAAGGTCACCTTCCCCAGTTCCCCCAAAGTGGTCCTTTCTGAACAGGATTGCCCTTGCCTCCTGGCCCAGGGTGGGGCGTTTGCCCTTGGGCCGCCCTGACCTTGACTACATTGGCCCCCACCCACAATCAGGTCCCTGCTGTTTTCGGAGGATTCCTGGGGCTGCGGTGTGGCTCGGGTTTGTGCCTGTTCTCTCTGCCTGGGCTCTTCTTTGTAGCCCCTCCCATGTGCGGTGAAGTGCTTCTGGCCCTTTAGTTTAGGTCGGGGACTGCTCCTACAGACGTCCCCAGCTTCGTGTTTGGCCCTGACTAGCTGTGTCCTTCACATGGCAGAAACTCCACAGCAGCCTAGGGGTCGTTTTTTCCGTTGTCGTAAAACAGTAAATCCCTTCACTGGCACAGGGGTAGTCTGTCTTTGTGGTGCCCGGTGCCTCAGCTTCACCCAGAAGTGATTGTTCGAAATGCAGATTGGAGGCCTCATCCGAGACTCTGATGAACCAGGCCTGGGTGAGATGCAGCACCCCTGGGATCCTAAAGCAGCTTCCTGGCAACTTGTAGGGTGACTTGCAGAAATCATGGCCAGAAAGTCCTGAGTTGTAGGGGAACACATTTTGAATCCGAAGAAGGAGATCCTGGAATGTTTCCTGGAGGAGGTGGTATTTTCTCTGTGCCTTGAATGAGGAATAAAAATTAAACGTTGGAAGTGAGTTGATGACTGAGAAGAGCAAAGGCTCAGAGGCAGGAAGCTGGAGTGCAGGTCTGTGAAGGGGCTGGTGAGGAGGAGCCTGGGGCCCAGGGCTCTGGTCTCCTGGGTTTGGAGGAGGAAATGGGGTTCCTCCAGCAGAGTTTTAAAGAAACTCTGGGCTTAGGTTAGATGGTTGGTGGAGGGCGTGCCCATGTGAGTGACGGCCAGCAACGCATCTGGTCTGTACCGTGCAGCCCGCCTGCCTCTACACCCTAGAGCTAGCATCCTGCCTACTCTTTTCAATTGATTTCATTGCATGATTAAAACAGGAGAACAAGAGAATCTTGAGGCCCATGTCTGGCGCAGAGAGGTGTGTGCCGGCTCTGGGCTTGTAACGTGGCTACGTACCCTTCAGCCAGAGCCACCTTCTCTCAGCCCATTTCCTGTTCCAGTCGGGGCAGGACGTGCTGTTAGAGTGCGGAGCGGCGCGCGTGCCGGGTGCCCGTCCACTGGCCAGGACGCTGATACAAGGCTGCTGGGGAGTGTTTCAGAAGGATCTGGACATCTGGGAGTTCCCAGCCCTGTCAGCAGAAGGAGTCATTTTTATATTCCACCCTGAAAATGTTAAAAAATAGCAATCAAGTTCTTATGTTAGCCTGTAAAGCTACCTTCATACAACTGTAGCTGAAATGCTGTACACATTGAAAAATCTTTTGAATTTGAGTAGCTCAGGTGTTCAGAAAGTCAACATGGAGTATCTAAAATGTAATTGAATGGTGGCATTTGAGGACTGTAGGCAGGAGATTAAACAGAGTCCACATGCTTTCTGGGTTCTTTAAAAATAAGGTTTAGAACGCTGAGTATTTTTTATGATTAAGCAGGCTATTATATATGCTGTTGATTTGTAACTTACAGTTTTCCTTTCCTCAATAACTCTAGATCACTAACATGATTATGATGCTTATCCTCTAGGATTTAGGACAGTTTTTGATTTACAAAATGGAATGCCAGGGGGAGATAGATTTTTTTTCCTGTGATAACCAATAAGGATGTGAAAGGGAGGAGGAGGAGGGTGGTAAATTGGAAGACACACTGGTGTTTAAGAAGGAGCTCACAAGCTCAGCAGGAAAGCGAGACTCCTGAAGGCCTGACATCCCCCACCCCCGAGGGGAAAGGTGGTGATGGCAGGGCCTGGTGTTGGGGTGTGGGCGCTGACCACAGGGCGACCACAGGGCTCCCCCGGGGCCCATGCAGGGCTGTGTGTGGGGAGCAGCAGGAGGGGAGGATGGAGAAGCCGGCGGCCCTGGGCCGCATGCGGAGGCGATCTGTGTGGACTGGGGCTCTTTCTCCCGAGCGTGCCTGCATTTACTCATTGTGCTGTGTGTCTATGGAAAAGACTTGTTAAGCTGTCAAATCGTGAACTACCTCGGTAGTTCCTGATGCCGTGATCATGGTTTTGGTCTCGTTTCTTTTAGGTTACCCCTGTTTCAGGCCAGTGCTTTTGCATTTCTGGCCCCTGCTCGAGCCATCCTGTCTTTAGATAAATGGAAATGTAACACCACAGGTAACTGCAGTTATTTCCACGTACGTCATTGGGGTCCCTCAGCGCAGGTGATAGAAGGGAGGCCTGGACGTGCTGCCCACGGCAGCCTTAAATCCTTTCTGGAATCGGGCACAGAACACACAAACCAACAAACTGCTTAAAACACTCCAGTCTGTGGATCGTGTTTCTGTCTCTCTCTCTCTCCCCACTCGTTCCTCCCTAACCCCAGAGCAAGTAAGGACCAGAAAGGACCTCATTTCTCTATGCTAATGAAATTGATAAATACGGGAATGGACTAGAACAACATTTGTGCTATTTTTCTGCCTCTTTCTTTCAGTGGATTTTATGAACCACCAGTAATCACTCTCTTTGCTGCATCAGCATCCCTTCTCTGAACCATCTCTGCTTTTGAAGGATCTGGCTGCTTTGGTTTTCTGCAAATGACTTTTACCCCCCCCCCCGCCCCGCCCGTTTAGTGATCACAGAGATCCTTAAATAACCCGATAAGGTCAGGAAAAAATCAGATAGGGGGTTTGAGAAAATCAGATAGACCTGTTGTACTCTCAAAATACTGTTACACTTTTCGGTTCTAGGAGCAAAGTTTTCCAACCTTCATTTCCTTCCTTGCTCCTAGGAGTTAATTTGTGACCACTGATTTGATTTAGGAACTGGAAAAGGCCCTCTGTTTTCTCTAGGTTTTAAAAACCTCAATCAGCAACCTTGCTCTCAGGCATTTCAGTTAGCTTAGCTGCTTGCAAAGGTTGGTCTTTGTGTGAGTCTGGCACTAGCAATGTGCATCCCCAGTTCAGTCAGCTTTTGACACACTGGGAGCTCTCAGTTGATGAATAAATTTGGTTACATTAGCGTTGGGGACTCCACCTTTCAGTATGGTAAGCCATACTGTTGTAACTTGAATTTTAGGGATGGGTATTTTATACAAATATACTTAAAATAGGGAAGGAATTTCTCCTTACAAAGAGTAAAATGAATATATCCTGTGAAACATCAGTGTCACTCCAAAAAAATGTTGTCTCTGTTTTTGTTTTCAAGATGTTTCAGTGTCCAATGGAACCACAGAGCTGCTACACACAGAGCACATCTGGTACCCCCGGATACGTGAGGTAAAAGATGAACATTGTCTGCTTGGGGCTTCTTTGTGTTTCTAACCCGCTTCACTGTTGGCTGTGCCCAAGAAATTGTATTTACTTGCGCTAAGCCCTCCTTTTCCTTTTCAACTTCTGACATGTTTATTTCTGTTGTGAAACTAAACTTAGATTGACATCACCGTAAATAAAGCGTGCAGAAATGCTTTGTGCAACCAGGCAGTGTTGTTTCTTGCCCTTCATCTCCCCCCCCCATGCACAGACCAGACTTACATCCTCCAGCGTAACTGGCCCGTTACCAGCTCCCTCATAAGGAGCGACGGAGGCTGGCCTATGGGCAGCAGAACTCTTCATTCCTGCCTGCGTTTGCCCATGTGTGTGGGAAGAATTAAAGCTCCTTGTCTGCTCTGGTGCACTTGAACAGAACAGGGCACGGGAGTCCTTAGCCGTGAAGAATGGCTGACCGTTTATCCAGATCTCCCCAAACCTGGAAGATCTTTCATCATTAGTTCAGAATGGGTGCAGATACAGCCGTTCTCCACAAAAGAAGCGTTCCTTTAGAATTTGTGTCAATAGCACTTCCTTCTAAATGTCCCTCAGGGACTCACTCTAGCATCTGTGCTGGAGTGTTCCTCTGAGGCTGGCTTTGAATGTCCCGTGTCTTGAGCAGGAATGATAAATCTCTCACTTATCTGTGGGGAGGCAGGTTGGCTGTACATGTGTCAGTGCCCGTTTCTGTAACGCTGCTATGTCAACTATGTCGTTCGTAGGTTGGCTAGACCCCACTCACCCCACTGGTTTCTTTTGAGGCCTCGGGGAATTTTCCAGCTGTGTCATGCCTGTTAGGTAGTAACTCGCTCCTTGGCAGAACTGTCCGGTATGGTTACGGGTGACATTTGGAGTCTACGATCTACAAGCATCTCACTCTCCTGTCTGTGCCCTCTCTCGCTCCAGATCCAGGGTGCCATCATCATGTCCTCACTGATAGAAGTGGTCATCGGCCTCCTCGGCCTGCCTGGGGCTCTGCTGAAATACATCGGGCCCCTGACCATTACGCCCACGGTGGCCCTCATCGGGCTGTCTGGCTTCCAGGCGGCAGGAGAGAGAGCGGGGAAGCACTGGGGCATCGCCATGCTGTGAGTGCTCTAGACCACTTAGCACGGACTCTCAGCACCTCCCCTTCCCACACCTAGCAGCAGCCTCGTGGGGTATTTTGAGCATTTACACGGACCTTAGGAGATAGGTTTTTTGTTTTGTTTTAAGTAAGAATAATCTGACAGTTTAAACTTGATTTGTTTCTTACCAGAAAGTTATTGAAGGGTTTAAGGCCCAGAGGTTGGGAAGTGACATGCAGTCAAGGTATTCCAAAGACCTGTTTGGCAGTGATGTGTAGAGGGAGGGTTGTAAGGTTTCACGCTTTAGGAAGGGGGTGTAAGATGGTTATGCCAAGTCTCTTGCACATGAATGGAGATACCAAGAAGCCAATCCTTTAGATGAGACTCAAAAAAACCTTCCAGATTGGCAGGAGACAGGGATGCTGCAGGAGGGTGTGTTGGCATTGAAGGAGACATGACTCCCCAGGCTCTTGCCAACACCTGTGGGGAGGCCGTGGCCCCTGCTAGAGTCCTGCCAGTTACTGCTGGTCCTTCAGCATGGAAGTGCAAGTCCGTTAAAGATGTCATTTACCCCTCAATGTGTTGTCAGTAAAGACATCCAGGACTTCGATAATATTATAAGATTGATTAGTAGAGCCATAGAACTCTGTATACCACAAATAGAACCCGCATTCTTTTTGTGTGCCTGGAGAGCACATGAAAGAGTTGATATTGTCCTAGGGAAATGGTGCAAAACCTGGAATTTTCCCAACCAGTGAAATTTCTAAAATAAATAATAGAAGGCAATTTCCAGTAGTGTTTGTCTTATGAAGTCTTCTGTAATTATTAAACAGCATGTGGCACTTCTTGAGCCTCTGCATTAGTAGTGCTTTACCAAACACTCGTATACATCGTAAGTTAAGGTAAGTACCAGTGTTACCCCATTTAACAGCAAAAGAAGCAGAGGCACAAGATGCAAAGTTCATTGCCTAGGCTCACACAGCTAGTAAGTGGCTGGGATGATTTTCAGAACCCAAATTGTCTGACCAGAATTTACTCTGTAATACTTAATCCTGCCTGTCTGTGTTGGAACAAGTAAAGCGCATCCTTGTGAAATTATAATCCACCTATCCTTACAAATTAAGGTATGTGAAAATGTCCAGGATTGTTCTTAATTTTCTCATTTCACTGAAGGTCAGTATTGCCCACACCAGCATGGGTGTGTAGAAGGGCATGGAAGAATGTTTGTTCAGTGAAATGCAGTAAGTTCCAAGAAGGAAAAGATGTAATTACCATCATACAGTAAAATTAAAAACCAACAGTGAAAGGGTGAGCAAAACCCCCAGACCGCTTAAAAGCTGGAAAGCACTGTTATAAATCACTCCTAGTCAGAGGGGAAGTTGAAACTTCACAGTTGCTGATAATTTAGAAGATGGTGGTGAGAACCGACCAATCCCATAGAGTAGTCAGAATTGTTATCAAAAAAAAAAAAAAACGCACCATCTTGGGGCACCTGGGTGGCTCATTCGGTTAAGTCTGCTCATCCATCTCCCTCTGCTCTCCCTTCACCACTCTCTCACTCTGTCAGATAAATTTAAAAATCTTTTTAAAAAATCCGCACAATCTTAAAGGCAAAGTACATGAAGAGCTTATCTCTAGAAACTAGAAAAACGGGATAAAAATGAGCCTAATGGAGGCAGGGGACCAAAAATTAATACAGATACAAAAATACAGAAGAAATAGAAGTGAAAAATCCCAACATTGGTTCTTTGGAAAATAACATGTGGACACACTTTCTGGCAAGGCTAACTGAGCAGAGAAGGGAGTGAATGCACAAATGGAGGATAAAGCCTTAGGTCCAGGGAGGAAGAGTTCTAGCTGTGCTCCCTGTCCCCGCCTTTAAAAACAACAACAGCAAATCAATAAAATGGGTGGTTTCCAGAAAAGCATAAAAACCAAAACAGACTTCTCCTCACCCTGATTGCTAAATGTCGGGGTTCCTCAGAACCTGGTTCTGGATCGTCTCCCTGCCACATGCTTTTCCCCTGGGGGACCCTGTCTAGGACGACCCCAGCAAGCCTCTGTTATGCTGGTGACTTCCAAAGAAGCCTGCAGCCCAGACCTCTGGACACCAGACTTAAACTCCAGGCCCTGGCCTGCACCCTCCAGGTGTTGTGACACAGGACACCTCAAACTTCAGGGGGAGAAAGTGTCAAGCTTTTGACTCCCTCCCTCCCCAAACCAGTCCCCCCTCCTGCCATCTTGCTCTCCGCCAGGGCCACGACACACATCCAGCTGATGAAGCCAGAAGCCCTGCAGTTGTCCTTGATTCTTTGCTTTCTCTCTCTCCCCACGTGCAAACCATCTTTCTGCGTCACCTCCGGGGCCAGTCCCACCACTCAACAGTCCTCACCCTTGTTCATTGCTTCCAAACTGGTCTTCAGCTTCTCTCCTGCTCCCTTCCTGCCCTGTGAAGTGCTTGGCCACTCTCTGCTCCTTACTCCTCCTTTTGAAACTCTAATTGGACACAAGCTAGAATTTCGGAAGCTTGTAGGTCTTTTTGTTGTCTGTGTCTGAAACCTCCCTCACTGTCCCTCGTTCTATTTACATCTCGTGCTTGGGCACTTGGGGCCTTTTCACTCTGGAATCTCAGGTGTTTGGGGGGTGGGGTGGTAAATGATCTTGAATTATTTCATGGATGCCTTCCTCCCCTCTGTTCCTGCTTGTCCCTTTCTGGAACTTTTAGAATGTTGGACCTCCCAGACCCTTCCTCTGCTTTCCATTTCTTCATTTTTTTTTCTCTATTCATGAGAAAATTTCTCGGTAGTATCTGTGGCATCCACTGTCAAGCTTTTCCTTTCTGCTCTCATGTTTTTTAGTTTCCAGCCAGCTTCTTTTGTACGTGGGATGCCAGCTCCGCAAGGCTTTCGCTCAGCGCTGGTAACCACGGCACCTCCAGCGCCTGGCCCACCACCTGTCACAGAGCAGGTGTTGAGTAAGCACCTCATAATAAGAAAGGAGGAATGGGGCTTGTGAGTACACCCCTGACCACAGAAGAGGCAAGAATGCTGTCAAAGGATTTTATCCCTAAAAAGTGTCCTGGGTTCCAGTGGTTAGTGAGTATATTATATTTCAAGGAAGGGCAAATTCCTACACTGGGTAAGTGGTTCTGGCACTTTGAGAAACCAGGGAAACTTCCCAGCCAGTTTTATCTAAGTGGCAGATTCTGACAGAGCTAATACCAAACGGACGGCCTGGTTCAACATTTTCTTTCCTCCCTAGAGTTGGTGTCAAGCCTCAGGCTTAGTTCAGATATGTTTAGGTAGTAGCGTGCTAAAGCTCAGCATCTTTCTGTACTTTAAGTCTCCTTGTGATCTTTTAAAATGGTAGTGTGCAGAAGACACTTTTCAGAAAAAGGCCTTAGTGTCCAGCTCTGCACACACAATTTATTTTTTTAGTGCCATATCTAGTAACATATCTTGGAAGAATGTTCTTTGGAACATGGCTTGGGAAAATGATGCTATAGGTAATAATAAAAAAGCCAACACATTATGTGTGTCATTTTAGGAGCTCAAGGATGATTAAATATTAGAAAAAATTTTTTTTAAGATTTTATTTGTCAGAGAGCAAGAGCACAAGCAGGGGGAGTGAGCAGCAGGCAGAGGGAGAAGCAGGCTTCCCGCCGAGCAGGAAGCCCGATGCAGAGCTCCATCCCAGGACCCCAGGATCATGACCTGAGCCGAAGGCAGATGCTTAACGACTGAGCCACCCAGGTGTCCCTAGAAAATTAATAAAATTCATTATAGGCCCATGGTGGATTTAATAATAAAAAACCATGGTGACAACTAAATCAAATTCAGTCTGTATCTCTGCTGCCAACTGTTAGCAGTATGGGGTTAGAAGGATCTTTCATGAATAAGATTTTTAAGTGCCTAATTCTTTAATGGTGAAAGACTTAAATATCAGTCCTGCCTGCTGAAATCAGAAACCAAGATAAGCATGTTTATTATTACCGGTATCATTTAAGGTTGTTCTGGATGTGTTAATCAGTGAATAAGAAAATAAAGTAATATGGGTCATTCCCAGAGAACTCAGAAGGGAATGGTGACAAGTCGCTCTTACAAGAATTAAACTACATTTCCGAACTTAATAATGCATTTTTTTTTTTAATATTTTATTTATTTGACAGAGACACAGCAGGAGAGGGAACACAAGCAGGGGGAGTGAGAGAGGGAGAAGCAGGCTTCCTGCCGAGCAGGGAGCCCAAGGCGGGGCTCGATCCCAGGACCCTGGGATCATGACCTGAGCCGAAGGCAGACACTTAATGACTGAGCCACCCAGGCGCCCCTTAATAATGCATTATTAATAACAACAATAACAATAACAGTACTGTATTGTTAATATGATACTGTAGTCCTGGAAGGATAGACATTAGTAGAGCAGAATAGGAGGGATAGAAACAGAACCAAGAAGAAATTAATATTTAGTGTATGACGGCAGTCATATTGGAAATCAGTGGGGAATAGAAGAATTATGTGAGAAAAATTAGATAATTATTTGGAAAAAAATTTAGATTCCTGGTTTATATCAAATTACATTTCAGTTGAGTTAAAGACTTAAGTATAGAAAGTAAAACAGTGAATTGTGCCAGAAGAAAATGTACATAAATATTTGATCATGGGACAGGGAAGTTTTTTTTTTTAAGATTATTTATTTTTGCAAGAAAGAGAGCGGAGGGAGAAGCAGACTCCCTGCTGAGCAGGGAACCTGATGCGGGACTCCATCCCAGGACCCTGGGATCATGACCTGACCTGAAGGCAGACATTTAACCCACTGAGCCACCCAGGGGCCCAGGGGAAGATCCTTCTTAAAGCAGATATTGAAAAGAGAAAGACTGATAGATTTTACTACCGATACATTTAAAACTCCTATCAAAACCCACTGAAACTACATTATAAATGAATCTGGGATATATTTACAACAAATTCCATTAAAAAGGCTAATGTCCTTAATTTATAGTTTCACCAATCCTGGTAAAGCTACGTACGTCACTGTGTTCATATTTATGTATACAGGGCAAATACTAACTTTTCACTAGTTAATTTAATCAAGTGAAAAGTTAGTATTTGCCCTGTATACATAAATATGAACACAGTGACGTACGTAGCTTTACCAGGATCGTCTGCTTTTCACCCTAACAGTTTGTTTGGGCTCTTCTCTCTAAGACCGTGTGTTTAGATTTACTCCATTCTTTGTAAAATTGCACAGTGCTAAATAGTATGAAATAGCGTAGAATTTATGAAACCATTCCCCAGTTGATACTCATGCTTGTTTAAAATATTTGCTGTTGTGAACAATGCTGAAATACATACTCTTTAGTGTAAGGGATGAATGTTAAATGACAGTAGTTTTTTAAATTGATGAAATTGGTAGGGATTTAAAAGTACAAGACTATGGGGCGCCTGCATAGCTCAGTCGGTTAAGCCTCTGACTCTTGATTTCGGCTCAGGTCATGATCTCAGGGTCCTGGGATCCAGCCCTGTTGGGCTCCCTGCTCAGTGGGGACCCTCTCCCTCTGCCCCTCCCCCTGCTCGCTCTCGCTCTCTGTGTCTCTCTCTCTCAAATAAATCTTTAAAAAAAAAAAAAGTATAAGGCTTTGTACTGCGGTGAGTAGCAAGTGGATGTTTTTGATCTCTGGGTGGGATTGTAAATTCATCCAACTTTTATGTATTTGGCAGTTTGTATCAGAAACTTTTTAATAAGAAAAAAAACTTTATAATAAGGCATTTACTCTTTGGCAGATCCATTCTAGTCCTAGGAACCTGCCGTAAGGAGATGTGTAGACAGGTGCCAGGGAGGGGTGATCTGTCACAGTTGTTTATGCCCCCAGTGTCACACCATATGGAAACTGTGTAACAAGATGTACTATGTACATAAGGTGGGATGCTAAGTAGCCAGCCACTAAGGTGCTGTTGCTGATTTCCATCTGTAGAGGTTGTGGCATTAATAGGGGCTACAAGCTAGTTGGGAAATACATTGTGAAGTCTGATTCCATTTTGGGTCAGATGATGACCTGTTTGTGCTCCAAGGGCAAGGGTAACATCAGGCAGTCCCGTGTCCCTCTCTAACCCCGGTGCCCTGGACCCGGTGACACCCTGTAAGTAACCAGGGAATGGAAGCTGTTCAGAATCTATAGGCCAGAATGTTACATGGTTGTTACCCAGCTGGGATGATGAGTGATCTTCAGGATTTTGTCTTTTTGCTTATCTGCCTTTTATAATTTTCCTGTATTTTAGTGTGCATTGCATTGCTTGCATAATATTTGTAAGGTAGAAGGTCAGCAAGCCAGTGGTTGGACAGAACCCTGGCCTGAGGACCTGGGGCTGGCTCATCCTTTCCCATTCTCTGGTCGGCCTAGATGTGTGAGCTCGGGCACAGCCCCCCCTTCCCCGCCCCGGCCCTGAGCCTCTCTACTCCTGCCACCTCTCTGTGATGGGACTGCCCGCCCTACCTGCTGCACAGGCTATTTGAGGATAAACATAAATTAGAAGGGGATGGGTTTTAGAGTGGCAGGGAAATGGAGTGTTCATCTGCCTAGTCCACTCGCTTCATTTGTGCTGCCAGATTTGGCCTGAGATCTGGGTGTCCTTCCTGAATTCTCTCTGTGTCCCTCCTCCCCTGGTAAACATGCTTTAAAACGTGAACACCACAGTGCAGGTGATAATAGGGGGGTGTTGCCTGAAATAATGATAATAATAGACTTGGGGCCTTTTGGGATCTCATAGTGTTCACTTTGAAATAAATCAGCATTTTTTTGGAACATGAAAATTTTATGTTGATCTAAATTTAAAGTAAACCAGGGGTACCTGGGTGGCTCAGTCATTAAGCGTCTGCCTTCAGCTGAGGTCATGATCCCAGGGTACTGGGATCGAGCCTCTCATCGGGCTCCCTGCTCGGTGGGAAGCCTGCTTCTCCCTCTCCCACTCCCCCTGCTTGTGTTCTCTCTCTCTCCGTGTCTCTGTCAAATAAATAAAACCTTTAAAAAAAAATAAAGTAAACCAGTTTTGGCACCTGTCATTACCATAACTTTTTTTTTTTTAAAGATTTTATTTATTTATTTGAGAGAGAGAATGAGATAGATCATGAGGGTGAGAGGGAGAACCAGACTCCCTGCTGAGCAGGGAGCCCAATGCGGGACTCGATCCCAGGACTCCAGGATCATGACCTGAGTTGAAGGCAGTCGCTTAACCAACTGAGCCACCCAAGCGCCCCCCGTAACATTTTTTTCAAAGATTTTATTAATTTGTCAGAGAGCGCAAGCAGGGGGAGCGGCAGGCAGAGGCAGAGGGAGAAGCAGACTCCCCGCTGAGCAAGGAGCCTGATGCAGGACTTGATCCCAGGACCCTGGGATCATCACCTGAGCCGAAGGCAGATGCTTAACAGACTGAGCCACCCAGGTGTCCCACCATAACATTTTTTTAAACTTCACCACCCCGGGGGAATTGGAATAACTTGGGCACCATGTCTATTTCCAGCCTCTAACAGGTACTGGCTTGATGACTTTGTGTTTGGGCTGAGACCCCCATCACCAGTGAGCAAAGCATTTGGTGGATAGGTGGGGAGAGGATGGAGTGGCATGGGCCGGTTCTCCCGCTGGCTCTAGACCACATGCCTCACTAGGAACGTGACAGTGAAGCCGCACTGGACCGGCTGTCAGTGGAGCTGATAATTCCATCTCCGCAATTGGAGCTGTGCCCAGGAACAGTTAAGCTGAGCTTTGACTGAGAACCCACTTTTGTGCCAGCTCTCCCTCGGGTTGTAAGTGAGAGTGCATCCCTGTGGGTGATGAAACACGTCATTGCAGACCTTCATTGTGTCAGCGATGGGAAGCCATCCCACACTGGCCACGCTTGGTAGCAGGCGGATGAGGATGTGTTGGGTCCTGCTGCAGGGGAGTCACCCGATGTCGCTGCCTCCTGTGATCCTTAGTGCAGCTGGGTCAGGAGTGTGGGGCTCAAGGTAGAGAGCCTTCTGAGCCAGCCCCAGCATCCCTGCTTTTAGGATAGTGTGGCAAAGTAGTTCAGAGCCCAGGCTGTAGAGTTAGACCCCCTGGCCCGCCCACCTGCCCTGCAAACCCTGGCTGCATGATCTTGGACTGCTGGCTTCGTCTGTCTGGGACGTGGGTGGTCATAGAAGCCACGGCTGCAGAAGGCTGGGATGATGGGCAGGACGGCCTTCACATAGTGTCTGACACACACAAACCTCCCAGGAATGTTGTTAATACTGAATTCTGTATGTAGCCGCCTTAAATGCTGAAGCTTTTTGCTTTTTGAAGCAGTTTATGCTCTTGATACATAAATCACAAAATACGGAAGAGTAGAAAAGTCTCAAAACATATTGCCAACTGTAGGCAATCCCTGTGAGCATTTTGGACCCTGTCCTCCTTACCTGTTTGCACACATGGGTGCATGGACATGCCCGTGTGGCAAGTGCTTGTTCTGTAGTTAATTCATAGTTGTGATTATAGTGTGCATTGTCTTGTATGTGGTATCTTTTTCCCTTACATGGTGTGAGCATCTCTCCTGAGTATGTGCATTCTTCAGGTTTTCTTATTCTGTTAAGGAAAATTTAGCCAAAGCTTTATATGGCAGTTTCATTTAGTATCAAGATATGTCTAGAACTAATATCTTTCCCAAAATGGCATTTCCAAAAGATAAGATTTCCCAAATAACAGTTTTGTTGTTTTTTTTTTTTAAGATTTTATTTATTTATTTGACAGAGAGAGACACAGCGAAAGAGGGAACACAAGCAGGGGGAGTGGGAGAGGGAGAAGCAGGCCTCCCTCTAAGCAGGGAGCCCGATGTGGGGCTCAGTCCCAGGACCCTGGGATCATGACCTGAGCCGAAGGCAGACGCTTAACGACTGAGCCACGCAGGGGGCCCATCACCTGAGCCGAAGGCAGACGCTTAACGACTGAGCCACGCAGGCACCTCCCCAAATAACAGTTAATAGGACTAGGAGCTTTCTAGAGAAATGAATCGAATGTATGTGGTCAGTTTTGCTGTTGAAGCTTTGAGTATTATTTTAAAACACAGACAACCTTTAACCTAGTTTATTTTCTTTCTCTCTCTCATCAGGACAATTTTCCTAGTATTATTGTTTTCGCAGTATGCCAGAAATGTTAAATTTCCTCTCCCAATTTACAAATCCAAGAAAGGATGGACTGCATACAAGTTACAGCTTTTCAAAATGTTCCCTGTGAGTAGTCACTTCTGTTTTTTCCGACAATATTGCCTTTGTTTATGTGAAAGGAAGTTTTAAGCATGTCTTCCTGGGGGAACTAGGTTGGGGTGGTAACATCAGGGTACTAATGAGCACGAAATTGCCATGGGCTTAAGGTTTACCAGCGGCAGAAAGCCGCCTTAAATGCTGAAGCTTTTTGCTTTTTGAAGCAGTTTATGCTCTTGATACATAAATCACAAAATACGGAAAAGTAGAAAAGTCTCAAAA